AATATATGTATAATAGACTATCTTGTTTCTCAATCTTTTCTAATGTACAGTAATAATAATTCCCCTGTATTTTGACCATCAAAATGGCTGGACATTTGACCCTCTACTAGTTTTTGATCCAGCATGGAACCAGCAGGGCCACGCCTAAGGCGGGTGGTTATATTTCCGAGAAGAATGCCGAAAATTAGTCTTTGAACTAGTCTGAATACTGTATATAACCATTGCCAATGTATTATGCAGAAGTTAAGTTCTGTGCACATTTTTCCAAGCCATTTTCAGCGCAAATTTTAGCTAGCTTTCAAGGTATCATCCACATTCCACAATGAATAAACTGGCATTTTAGTAATGCTGTAGTAGTAGTAGTAGTAGTAGGTCCTAGATAGTTCCATGGATCTAATAATTAACATGTAAATTAATGCACTTTATTTAAAATAGTGTTGTTTGTTTGTCTAATGTTTGAAATATTATTATTATAGTTTGTATGCCTAGGCCTAAACTAGGGGCCTAGGTCGTGCCAGGCAGTAGTATTCCGTATTCTCTACATACATACAGTACTGCACTAAATGCTAGGCTATGCCTACACAGGTAAGACAAGTTGGTATTAAACAAACCTATTTTTAACGCCACTATTAAGATCACCACTTCCAAGACTTCCTTATCCAAACCAGCAAACATATCTTTTTGAAAGATTCATTCTTCAAAAATGCCTTCGACTTATTTTATTATTATTATTGAATGTTTTCGCCAGTCCTAATTTTTCAATTTTCCGCTCATGACGATCATTCTCATCAGTTGGCTAATGTCGTTACCAGCTCGTTACGGTTGAGTGAATCAGCTGACTCCCTGTCTAGTGCAAATTTCCGAAATAAAAACTGGGGCAAATCGTTATTTTACACATAATTGAGACATTTTCATAAGTGAAAACCCATATAAATGAAAAGAACGGCCAAATTTACATTGGAATATCTAAAGTTTGACACGATTTTTTATGGGGTTACCGAATGCAAGCCTTTGAAAGTCGGTACATTTTAGGAAATTCCCTATCTTATAACACTAGCTCAAAATCCTGTAGCACCAGTTTTTTTTTGGGACCCAGTTCATGAGCCTCGTTTTCGAATACCGTGCTCCAAAATCGAGTGCCGTCATCATCGTTGTGGTCGCCCATCCCTCTATTTTAAATTAAAAATTAATCGTTTTAACTACCTGTAAATAATTTCATATTTATTAATTAAAGGTTCACAAAATTTTATTAATACAGACCTAAACAAATTGTAACCTGCATAAAAAACTTTCATTATAATTATAAAGAAGTTCATTACAAGAATGTCTGAATGTACTTCAGATATTATTTCACATTTTTGGTGGATTCAAGAGGGTACCCAGTTGGCCCACCTCCCCCTCCCCCCACCTCCTTGCATCTTTCAAAATTATTCTACCAATAATTGAGAAAGAAAAGAAAGTCATATTCAAATTTAAGTCTGAGAGTGGCGCTGATGATGATGATGATGATTTTCCACTATACTTTTGTGAGAATAAATTTTATTTTCTAAAGTGAAGTTGGAGTAAACAACTTATTATCTACCATTATATCATATATTCTTAGCCTTAATGACGAACCCTTTGCATTTCAGGACCAAAAGGTGATTTAACTCTGGACAGCTAAAATTAGTAAAATCATCTTTGTGTAAAATGAAATTTTAATCACAATGCTTACAGTGAAAAAAAAGTATTTCCTTAATTATATTTTCAATATTCCAAAAAAGGAGAATGATCAAGAGATTCAAGAGGGAGGAAACCCCGAAGCTTCGACAAACGTTCAGGTAAGTTCAACTTAAAACAAATACAAATGTCACTTCTTCTGTAAGTGTCCGCATCTGAGCAACTAATATTGTGTAGGTATTGGGTTTGCGCTTTAGACAATCTTCCTAGTCTTAACACTTATGCACATTCGACATTTAAGGCCTGAAGAAGAGGCTTCTGCGCTATAGTCCCTCATTAGGGATAGTAAAATGAACCCTAAACATATTATTAAATAATTTTGGGGACCAAAAATTTGGAGATCATCGATGTTGAATACCCCATATAACTACACTTTCGTGGCTTATGTGCAAGGTTTCTCTCCTTTCTCATTATTCTAATTCAAAATCTTCAAACACAGGTTTATTACTGGGAAGGGGTTGGGACAGTGTTTGAATAGACTCTCACAGGATGGGGCCTTGCTACCTTATTCACAGATACAATATTATTATTAGTATTATTTATTAGTTATGTTGTCCATAAAAAAAAAATGGTCGTAATATAAAATTATTACCTGTAATATGAAATTAACTACCTGTAAATAATTTCATATTTATTAATTAAATGTTCACAAAATTTCATTAATACAGACTTAAACAAATTGTAACCTGCATAAAAAAATTTAACTTTCATTATAATTATAAAGAAGTTCATTACAGGAATGTCTGAATGTACTTCAGATATTATTTTACATTTTTGGTGGATTCAAGAGGATACCCAGCTGGCCCACCTCTCCCCCCCCCCTCCTTGCATCTTTCGAAATTATTCTACCAATAATTGAGAAAGAAAAGAAAGTCATATTCAAATTTAAGTCTTAGAGTGGCGCTTCCGGCCATTTAGAGGTCAAACTTTTTACGTCCACTGTATATTATTGAGCTGGAAACATCTGTGTTCTACTGTACTTACGACTGCATCGTAATGATATCTGTAAAAGGTAAAGCCTACTGTTTTAAATTTCACATCTTGTAAATTACTGTATAATTCTGGAGTCCATAATGAACAATGTGGTCCGCCTAAAAAAATTGTTGTTTCTTTACCTAGTAAGGGCATTGATCTCTGCTTAAAAACAGGGGGGAGACAAATGCGAAAAAACAAACCCTGATTAAGGGGGTCACCTTGGTCCAGGCCCTAGTGAAGGTCGAGGGTGCGGAGCCCCACCAAAGTCCAAAGTTCTAGCCGTTTATAGGCCATATAACAATTATTAATTAACAAATATGATGATGATGATGATGATGATTTTCCACTATAGTTTTGTGAGAATAAATTTTATTTTCTAAAGTGAAGTTGGAGTAAACAACTTATTATCTACCATTATATCATATATTCTTAGCCTTAATGACGAACCCTTTGCATTTTAGGACCAAAAGGTGATTTAACTCTGGACAGCTAAAATTAGTAAAATCATCTTTGTGTAAAATGAAATTTTAATCACAATGCTTACAGTGAAAAAAAAGTATTTCCTTAATTATATTTTCAATATTCCAAAAAAGGAGAATGATCAAGAGATTCAAGAGGGAGGAAACCCCGAAGCTTCGACAAACGTTCAGGTAAGTTCAACTTAAAACATAGGACCAGGACTTAGCTGGCTATCTCAGGCACAGATAAGAAAGAGACAAGTTTACACACATACACTACTCACTCATATGATATTCCCTAATTTTGTATGGTATTCAAGCATCCTACAAAATGAACAATGTTTATCTATGTTTTATTAACAAATTATTTTCCTGTAGGTCTAATATCGATTCAAACACATTGATTGATGATGAAAATTAGTTTCCCATTTGAACTTCTTAGTATACGCTGCACATGTGCAATCACATGCAGTGATGATCACAACCTCATTAATTAGTATACTTACTGAGTAGGTTAGAATAGGCCTAGAATTTACGAATTTTTCGAGCTCAACATCGGAATTTAAGGTCAGAATATTGATTCAATAATTGAAATACATTCTTTTTTAAGTTTATAAACATTTAATAAAATCCACCAAAATAAATTGAAAATACAATTTTTATAATGATGAAGTTGTTTACTTTTCACAAATATGTTGAAATTTGTGAGGATTCACCCTTTAGGCCTATGCGCCCTAGATCTGCGTTGAAGAAAACATCTAAGGAGAGCAAAAAATAGTTCTAAAATTTACGCATATATCGAAAAGGAATGGATACCACATTCGAAAAATATGTCTCATGTCATGTCGTGAATTGAGACGATTTGGGCTTGCTTTGCCGTATAATCATTGTAGGCCTACTATCTATAACTCTGAAATTGTGAGTGTAAACAGCATTCAATATAGTTGGTTCGCCTTGCTACCTCCGCCACCGAGTGTAAACGAATTTGAGCCAGTGTTGGTTTATTTTTTTATTATTTATCATTCCCGAAATATCTATGGCATCACAAAGAGGGCTAGTAAAATTAAAATAAAATGAAAATAAAAGGTTCATAGTCATACACAAATTAATTTAAAAATGACGATCTGTTTTTTTCTTCTCCGTGGTAAGAAAACCCGGAAGCCCAATGTACGGAAAAAGAGTTTGGGCGATGTATATCGTCATCACCTGAGCACGTGGTAGAGGAGAAATTTCTATTATCTTATTGGCTAACATGTGATTTGGAAGCGTGGCTTCTTTGATGGACTCACCCAGGCGCGACTGCCGAACTTTGAACTTTAACTTTGTTTACGCCGTGAGTTCATGAAAATCAAACATGGAGTCTGAGAATTGGTAGACATTTTAACGAACTTTCAACAGAAAGGAACATCGAAATTAGTGCATACTATTGCAAATTAACTTCGTGTAGGTAAATAAGGTTCTTTACAGGCCTGTTGCGCTATTTATATTGGTGGTTTTTGTATTAATTTTTGTACAGCATTGATTGAAGTAGCCGGCGAAAACATTGTAGTAGCCGATCGAATGCACCGGCTCTTAAATAAACCCCTGACCATTAGATCATATATTCTTAGACTTAATGACGAACCCTTTGCATTTCAGGACCAAAAGGTGATTTAACTCTGGACAGCTAAAATTAGTAAAATCATCTTTGTGTAAAATGAAATTTTAATCACAATGCTTACAGTGAAAAAAAAGTATTTCCTTAATTATATTTTCAATATTCCAAAAAAGGAGAATGATCAAGAGATTCAAGAGGGAGGAAACCCCGAAGCTTCGACAAACGTTCAGGTAAGTTCAACTTAAAACAAATACAAATGTCACTTCTTCTGTAAGTGTCCGCATCTGAGCAACTAATATTGTGTAGGTATTGGGTTTGCGCTTTAGACAATCTTCCTAGTCTCAACACCTATGCACATTCGACATTTAAGGCCTGAAGAAGAGGCTTCTGCGCTATAGTCCCTCATTAGGGATAGTTAAATGAACCCTAAACATATTATTAAATAATTTTGGGGACCAAAAATTTGGAGATCATCGATGTTGAATACCCCATATAACTACACTTTCATGGCTTATGTGCAAGGTTTCTCTCCTTTCTCATTATTCTAATTCAAAATCTTCAAACACAGGTTTATTACTGGGAAGGGGTTGGGACAGTGTTTGAATAGACTCTCACAGGATGGGGCCTTGCAACCTTACTCACAGATACAATATTATTATTAGTATTATTTATTAGTTATGTTGTCCATAAAAAAAAAATGGTCGTAATATAAAAATATTACCTGTAATATGAAATTAACTACCTGTAAATAATTTCATATTTATTAATAAAATGTTCACAAAATTTCATTAATACAGACCTAAACAAATTGTAACCTGCATAAAAAAATTTAACTTTCATTATAATTATAAAGAAGTTCATTACAAGAATGTCTGAATGTACTTCAGATATTATTTTACATTTTTGGTGGATTCAAGAGGATACCCAGCTGGCCCACCTTTCCCCCCCCCCCTCCTTGCATCTTTCGAAATTATTCTACCAATAATTGAGAAAGAAAAGAAAGTCATATTCAAATTTAAGTCTGAGAGTGGCGCTTCCGGCCATTTAGTGGTCAAACTTTTTACTTCCACTGTATATTATTGAGCTGGAAACATCTGTGTTCTACTGTACTTACGATTGCATCGTAATGATAGCTGTAAAAGGTAAAGCCTACTGTTTTAAATTTCACATCTTGTAAATTACTGTATAATTCATGGAGTCCATAATGAAAAATGTGGTCCGCCTAAAAAAATTGTTGTTTCTTTACCTAGTAAGGGCATTGATCTCTGCTTAAAAACAGGGGGAGACAAATGCGAAAAAAACAAATCCTGATTAAGGGGGTCACCTTGGTCCAGGCCCTAGTGAAGGTCCAGGGTGCGAGCCCCACCAAAGTCCAAAGTTCTAGCCTTTTATAGGCCATATAACAATTATTAATTAACAAATATGATGATGATGATGATGATGATGATTTTCCACTATAGTTTTGTGAGAATAAATTTTATTTTCTAAAGTGAAGTTGGAGTAAACAACTTATTATCTACCATTATATCATATATTCTTAGCCTTAATGACGAACCCTTTGCATTTTAGGACCAAAAGGTGATTTAACTCTGGACAGCTAAAATTAGTAAAATCATCTTTGTGTAAAATGAAATTTTAATCACAATGCTTACGGTGAAAAAAAAGTATTTCCTTAATTATATTTTCCATATTCCGAAAAAGGAGAATGATCAAGAGATTCAAGAGGGAGGAAACCCCGAAGCTTCGACAAACGTTCAGGTAAGTTCAACTTAAAACAAATACAAATGTCACTTCTTCTGTAAGTGTCCGCATCTGAGCAACTAATATTGTGTAGGTATTGGGTTTGCGCTTTAGACAATCTTCCTAGTCTTAACACCTATGCACATTCGACATTTAAGGCCTGAAGAAGAGGCTTCTGCGCTATAGTCCCTCATAGGGATAGTTAAATGAACCCTAAACATATTATTAAATAATTTTGGGGACCAAAAATTTGGAGATCATCGATGTTGGCATAGGCATACAGGTCATTTGGTTAAAAAAAAAAACTATACCAATACAAGAAAAGTACAGAGTGCTTCTCTATTATTATTATCATCATTATGATGACAATTGTACACATTATAAATGACTGCGAGTTGTCTTGCCTTAATGGTGGCATCACAGTGCTTCACCGAGCTGAGGAACTGGCCATTAAATGGCAGAGAGACTACACAGAGATCATATCATACGATATTAAAATCATCATTATAATTATTATTATAAAAATGAAGATATAGACCCTAATAGAAGAAGTAAGATGTAATAGAAGAATTAAGATATAATAACTAAAACCATTCAAATTAGAATGGTATAAATATTTAAGGACATGATCTTTTATAATTTTTTATTCTCAATGTGCATTACCAACTTTAGCTCTGTCCATACTATTAGGTGTTTTTGATGTCTGCACTTCTAGAAACCAACAGTCATCACCATTAGTTAGAAATATCCAACTTAATGTTAATGGATCTCTCATAAAGGCCTCTAAAAATGCTTGTAACTTGGGCTTTACATTTGACTCCACACTGGATTTATGTTCTCAGGTGAGTAAGGTATGTAGTAGTGTACGTTACCATTTGCGTAACTTGTGGAGGATTCAAAGATTTGTTAATCTAGATACATGTACTTGTCATGCAGCAGTTAGAGCCCTCGTACTATCGCGAATTGACTATTGTAACTCACTTTATGGCGGTCTCTTCAAGAAAGACATGTTTTTCTCTATTTATATGGTTTTCTCGACCAACGTATCCCTACACGTACAACATGCTTCTCTTCATCTGTACATTTCATTATACCACGTCACAACAAGAGAATTGGAGGTTTTTCATTTCTTTGTCATGCTTCTAAACTTTGGAATAATCTTCCAAATCTTAGAGATATCTCAGATCCTAATCTTTTTAAACATGCACTCAAGACTTACTTGTTTGCCTAAGTCTCTTTTTGCTGCTTTTTCCTTTTGTGTTTTAATTGTTGTAATCTGTTTATTTGTCTTTGTTGTTTGTGTGACTGTACTACTGTGATGCTTCAGGTTCCTGAATAATTTCTGATTTTATGCCTACCATTGTTTTCCTGAATTATTGAGGCTTGGCTTGCGCTTCATAACCGCAAGGGAAAGGCGCAATATAAATACCCAGTACCAGTACCAGATATACCCAAATATGAGGTTGACTTGCTCAAATATGGGTATGATGTGACATCATCATGCTTTTCTTTTGTCAAGGAAAAGTTGATGGTATGGACAGAGCCTTATGAGTTTTGTGTAATTTTGTTGTTATTGGTTTAAATCAAAATTCTTTTATTGAATAAATTTTATTGTTATCTTTATGTATTTCATTTTATTTTGTCAAAGGGCCAAAATGAAAATATTTTTTAATTTTGTTGTGTTATCCTTGTTATATCTAGTTTATCTTTTTTTTGTTTCATGTGTCTGTCATTTTTGTAAGGTAAATATTTCAACATTTTGCCTCCCTATATTTTTTCTTTGTGCAGTATTTTATGGACATTTCAAATTAAACGAAATCAAATCTATTATTATTATCATCATTATATAATAGCATCATTATCATCATCATCATAATTTGCAAACACTACTTTGTTCAAAACTAGAAAACAAAGTACATAGGCCTGCATTTAATCATTGTATATATGTGGGCTTTTTGGTTGTTAGGAGAGAAGAAAGAGGAAATACCAAGGCGAACCCCAGGAGTGTCTGTACGAGATTGTTGCAAACAAACGCAGTTGTATTGATGTGGACAAGTGGGACTATTTTGCGCGTGATTGTCATATGCTTGGGATCTCAAACAGCTTTAATCACAATCGCTATATGAATTTTGCTAGAGTAATTAAGGTCGAAGGAAAATATCAGATATGCATGAGAGATAAGGTAGGACATCACTCGTGGGTAAATATATTGAGTTTTCTCACATAATCTACAAATTTTGTTACAATAGATAAGGCACAAACATTTTCATTTTGTTACAAATCTTGCTTTCTCCTTCATCACTTATTTATAACCTATATTTAATAACCAATATTTTTTGTCAATTTCATATTTAGGAGGTTGGAAATGTGATAGAGATGTTCCGCACAAGGAATAGCCTTCACCGTAATGCCTACCAACACACGGTTAACAAAGGAATTGAGAAAATGTAAGTGTCATCTACTTAAGTAAGTAATAATAGTTTTGATAATATAATAAGTGAAAGTAAATAAATACTCTAACGGCTACAACCTTGACGTGGTAGATTAGCTATGCATCCCAATGATCCAAAGAGCTATGCCGGCGGTAGCAAAGCTACTGTTAGGGATTCCCAAGCCGGATTGGTCTGAGTTTAGGCGTCAGACAAATAATAGCCAAACTGGTCCTCCAGGTTGAGGGTTGGTCAATGGGCTAATAACCCATTCTCGGAAAAAAGAAACTAGTGTATTACAGAAACCAGAAACAGAAATGCCAAAAGAAATTACCTTGGAGGCACCATGATGCCACAAGATGGTTGCATGACGCCGGTGAGTGAAAGCCGAGAGGAAGCCCACAGGCCAAGTACATCACTGGTAAATCCTAAGACAAAACTAAGGATTGGAAACTGGAATGTAAACCCTTTATCAGATGGGAAATGTTGCACAGGTTCCATATATTATGAATAAAATGGGAATCAGTATACTTGTACTGTATAAGGTTGCATATATTATAAATAAAATGGGAATCAGTACACTTGGTATAAGTGAAAGCCATTGGACAGGAAATGGACATCAGGAGAAACAATATTATACTCCGGGAAAGATAACGATATACATAGAGAAGGTGTGGCAATAATCATGTCAAAAGAAGCTACAGCATCATTGATCGACTGGACACCAATCAACGAACGGATCATTAAAGCAAGATTCTTTTCAAAACTCATCAAACTCACCGTTATTCATGTGTATGCGCCAACTGAAAATCGAGATGAAGAGGATAAAGACAAGTTTTACAGAAATCTTGAAGAAGTCATTAATAGTGCTGATAATCACTGGCAACTTTAATGCTAAATTTGGAGGGGAAAACATTGAATTCAAACAAGTAAGTACCGTGTACAATAGTGTTTTGCTGCAGTGACATCTCGCTGCTGGCGACTCGCTGCTGCTGGCGATGACCCGCTGCTGGCGAATCGATCTGCGCATGTGTATAAAATGGTATTTAT